GTGGAAAAAATCCGATAGTGGGCTAAGAAATGGGTTTTGCATTAGACGCTGGCTCTCCAGGCGCTCACTGTAGGCTGTTCGACGTGATCCCGAGAACTGGGCGCTCCCACCAAAGCAAGGCTGCTTTCCTTTCCTCCGGATGCTTTGCACCATCCTGAGGAGCTGCTCCTCCAGGTCTGCTCCTGCGTTTGCACTTGAGCCCATGATTGAGCGCTTTGCTGCAGCAGAATCAAACCGGCCAGTTTCAATATTGGCTTGTTTTTGCTAAATTGAGCGTGTTGTGTTTTGTTACGTAGCTTGGGGTGGTGAGAGAAATCCATTAAGCTTGAAGTTAATTAGTATGGGATGACTGTAATTTATCAAGATTGCCTGAATGAAAGTAAGGGCATTGCTATTTAATTAGCGAGTGCATTTGGATTTTTTAGGTGATTTTTTCTTTTTTTGATATAATTCAAAATATTATAAGTATTTTGCATTTAATGAAAGAAGACTAGACTAAGGGCAGGAAACAGAAAAGACATTAAAAACCTATGGCATAATATTTTTTTGCTATTAAGTACAGGGCGTTGATCAGATAAGAGAGCTTTTATTGCTGTGGTCTGTTCTCATTTTGTATCTAAATCGTAGCTGAAAAGATGCTTTGAATGAGAGAGTCCTAATTTATATTACCAGGAAGGAGTGAGCTTATAGAGCTATCAAACCAGAACGTGCCTGCTTGTTGCTTCTTCTGCTTCCCTGTTTCTGGGACCTTCCATTGAAGCAACGGGGGCCTCCACGTGATTTCAAGAAACGTTTACCCTCAGGTGTGTTTTATACAGTGGGCTGCTTTCTTCTTCATTTTCCTGAATTTAAGGTAAGTCATTGTAGATTGAAACTTCACAGTTACTCTCCCTTATGGGAAGCGATACTGCTTTCACTCACAGGAATGGGCCGAGTCCCACCAGCTTCCGATCACGCAGCCTGCGTCCCGCTGACGTAAGGGACGGTGGAACGGGGTGTTGGCGTGTCAAGTGCGCTGAATAAAGTACAGCAAGCTCCGTCCCAGGAGCGTTACTGCCTGCACAACTTGCTCAGTCTGTCCATCCATCGCCTTCCAGTGAGAGACGCAGGGCTCAGCCCACACGGGGCGAGCGTTTCTCTGCGTAGCGATCCACACTGAGTCATTAATTTCTCATAGCTGCTTGGGGTGGCGCCCAAAACTGCGGTACTTGTATTGTGAATAACAGGCATCTTTTACTGAGTCTGGTTGTGCTTTTAGCTTACATGCCACAGCGAGGCGTGCATAAAAATGTTCACTGGAAGTCTTACCAGCAGCTCACGCCTGCCATCGTGGGGGTGTGACTACAGTGGAAATATTCTTGTGCATTGGGAGACACCTGCTGTGCAGTCCACAAATCGCAGCTCCACGCTGCCTGTACGCGCCCAGGCTCCTTGTTACAGCTACGGCACGGAGGCCTGATGCCTGCGTTGGTGTCTGCAAAAGGCAGCCTGAATGTGGTGCCCACCTCGCTCCACGGGCTGTAGAAAGAACCAAGATTAGGTGGATGGCCTGCACGGTTCCTTAATCTTGTTAATCTTGAATTTTATGCGGGAATCCGCACCTGCCTCTGCACAAGCAAGCTCCGTATCTCTGTAGGGCTCCCTTTTGCCTCTTGCGAATAGTGATAATGTCATTTCCCTGCCTCCCAGGGCTGCTGGCAGTAAATGAATTAGAAATTTCTTTGGCTGGCATAGTCGTGGGACCAGAGAGGTCTTTCACTAGTGCTCTAGTATAATTTGCTCCCGTAGTTGTGTCAGTTGTTGTGCAAGTGTGGTATTTTGTACAAAACGCAGGATACACTGCGACTGCTCTCCTTACGCACGCTGCTGTAGGGATTACGCACGCTGGCGATGAGCATACCCAGCTCTGAAAGGTGAGGCCCGAGAAGTTTCTGGAACGTCTGCGTTCCCCGCGGCGGTGGCTGCAATTTTACAAATCCCCGTTTGTAGCGCTCGGTGAGCCGTCAAAGCCGAGAGCTGCAGGACTGAACCAGTGTTGTGACGGCCGCAGGACAGCACTTCAGTTTCCACGGAAACCGGCACTGCCTTTCCCAAATCAAGGTGAAGTGGCGGCTGATTATCTAATAATAATGCTGAGCATTTAAATATGAAGTTCTTCACCTTCCTCTTGCTGAAACAATTTCCATTCCTACAGCACCCAGCAAATGCCATAGAGGGCTTGCAAATTCAACCCATTGTCACAGCTTGGGCTGTCCCCTCTGCTTTCCAGAGATGAAAGACAGAATTCAGCCTTGACCCGTTCAGCCACGGAGCCTTATGCTCTGCTGTTAAGATCAAGGGCTAATTTGTCCCCACATCTACTGCACAAACTGGTACCGTTGTTTATGTGATAAATTACAGAATAACAGAAGTTCTTTGGCTTTACCGTGTGTTTTTATACTGTGCCTTTCCAGAACGTTTTTGTCCTCCAATGCGTTTCCTTGTAGTTAATTCTCATTGCATAAACTTAGCTGCTCGCACTCTTGCTTATCACCTGAATTTAATCGCTCTTTGGTTTTGCGCTCACTGGACTCTTGTTTTGAATCAGTGAGTTTCATCATTTTGCTGAACGTTCCTTTTTCCAGGTCATTGATTTCTAAGGTTAACAAAATGAATCCTCCTGCCGATCCCTGTTACGTCCCACTAATCTCCTTGCTATATCCTGAACCGCTCAATTACCTTTTGCCTTCGGTTTCAGAGGCATTTATTGAACCCACAGATCAGTCTTTTGTGCAGGAAGCAGTTTCATATTGGATTCAGGAACATGTTCGTGTGAATATTTCTCATACTTATACCTCAATTTGTTAAGGTTGTTTAAATTTTCTTGGTTAATTTGCTTCTTGACATGCTCTTTTAAGTGTACTATCTCCACTGCTTATTTTTTGCAGGAGATGTCTTTCTTTCTAACCTCTATTCTTTTCCATTGGCTCTTGAATAATGTCTTCCACTATTTGATAGTGTTGACTTTCCACTTTGCAGCACTTTATTTTTTCTGCCTTTCTGAATCGTTTGACTCCATTGCCATCCTTTGTTCATTTTAGGAAGAGAGTAAGAGCCAATAGTCTTCTGAAGGACATTGCTCTGATCTCCTTGATAGGAAACGGGGATTTTCTTAGGCCTGTCTTTCATATCACTAACTCCATGTCCCTCTTTTTTTTTGACTGGGGGTTGATAGCCACTTTAGCCAGGATTATAGAATCATAGAATCACAGAATGGTTTGGGTTGGAAGGGACCTTAAAGATCATCTAGTTCCAACCCCCCTGCTGTGGGCAGGGACACCCTCCACGATCAGTCGTATCTCAGCGTGGATGGACTGGGGAGAGCACGGAGGCACAAAACCAAAGCAGCGATGTTCATGGCCTGACACCCCATGATACCCTTTCAGCCAGCTGGGTGTTAATGAAAGCGGGGCAGAGCATAGGTCTTACTGCCTTGACACGATCTTCCTCCAACGCCAGTGACCCGTTTCAGGTACCTATAACTGAGTCTGCTCTCTCATCGTTATTGTCTTTGCTAGGAGTGCAATATGCAGAAGAAAAAGGTCTTTTTACACATCCGTTAGTGTGCCAAGGGGTTGTCTCTAGGTGTGTTAGGGTAGCGAGGCTCACACGTCTGTCACAAATGTAGTAAAAGAAGCAGCCCAAACTAAACTGGCTGCAGAGCGCCACTGTGCAGCCTGTCTAGGGCCACTGTCACTCCGAGGTGCATTTTTCACATCAGAAATCTGTTATTTCCAGTGCCCCAGGACTGTGTAACCATTTACAGAACTTACTGACATCCCAGAACAAGTCACGTAGCTTTGGCAGTGGCACTGATGTCTGGCATCTCAGGAATAAGCAATAAAACTGAAGCTGGGGAGAACAACAGCTGCTTTACTAGCTTAAGGAGAGGCACGTTTTTAACAGTGACTGGGTATGACTGAAGATCAGGGTTTGACACCAGGGCACTGAGAAGGAATACAAAGGACACCACTCCTAATCAAGAAGCTTGCTTATAAATAGTTTCTCTTTAGGAAAAAAGCCAAAAGAAGTTCTGCCTTGGAAAGTACTTTTTGACAAAAACTTGGTTTTACTGGATCATTTGTTATCTTAGATGATCTTACTCTATCTTGAATGTATCAAGTTAATTAACAAAGCCATTCTGAGGTCATGTAATTTCATTCACAGATGAACTAAAGCTCTGGGCTTCTCTGAGGAGACGCAGAAGCTGAATGCGTGAGCTGAGCATCCCCAAAACCTCATGGTAAATCCCCTCATATTCAGACAATTCTGTTGCAATCAGTGCATTTGAGAAATTATGACATGTTTGAAAACCCCCAAGCCTGCGACACCCATAAGATTTAAATCAGAGGTGGGGAAGGTGTGTCACATTTAAAAAAAGAAATGGCCACAAAGGCACTTTTGTTTAAAGCCTCCCAGGTACTCTGAAATGTGTCGTAGCAGGGGGTGAAGCCTGGGTGAGCAGGAAGCCAATAGTACACAATAGTCTACAACAGGCACGGAGTTTGTCCAGCCTTGAACATTGACTATGAATTTGAATTTAATATGTTTGCTGAGCTGCTTTGAGCTACAGGTTGTTGCATTTTTTGGAAGAGGAGTTTTGGTGACTGGCTGGGTAGTAATATAAGAAAGAAAAGCATGAATAGCCTGGAAAAAAAAAAGCAGCTACTTAGACAGATTAGAGTTGTGTACTACTTCACGAAGTGCTGGAGACGTGGAGTGTTCTACAGCAGATGCTGCAATCCTACCAAACTACTGCTAGCAGCTAGCTCTCCGTGGGCAGGTCACTAGCCACTACCATCCCACAGAAGCCCATGAACTTAAAAAAGGGTCTTTTAAGACAGGAGGCGAAAAGACAGCATGATTAGGTAGTATGGTTCATTGGAAGCACCTAGGCCTTTCTCAACCTGGATAAGTCAGTTCCTTCCTAGAACAAATACACGTTCAACAACATTTTGTGTGACTTCCATTTCCAGTAATATTGTTGTAACATAGGAGAGAGAGGTATGTTTGTCTTAAGCATTCTCTTCTTTGAAACAGACAGCAGAAGGAACAGAGGAATTACAAGAGGTAGTGAGTGTAGCAAACCTGCACATAAAACAATCTTTCATAAGAATAAAATGCTGTATTTACAGCTGTAAATGTATACACCCGTATAATTTAAAAATACAAAGCTACTTTTACTGTGTTTCAGGGTTTGCTTTTTTTTAGTTCAGAGAGTGAAACACTCGAGTGCTGGACTTAAAGTGGTTAACTTCATTGCATTGGCAAAACCAAACCATCCATGCAGCACTGGGCTTTTAACTCGTCGTAAGTGAGAAAGTTAAACTCAGCAGTTAGTGTAACCAAAGTGCACTTGTGTTCTTCACACTGTGTACGTTTTGACTGGCTTGTAAAAAGAATGTAGAAGTTCATGACTCTCCCTGGCAGCTTCTTGAGATGAATGAGGAAAACATGATCTGCAACATATTTGGCCACAGCCTGACTCTGAATGAGAAGACAGGTTTTTATCAGACAGTGGAGAAAAGTCGAAGTCAGCTACCTGCAAAAGGAACATCAAAGAGATCATTTTTAATTTGGGTCCTACTGGCTCAAGTGAGTCCAGCAAGAATACTTTAGGGCAGAAATGGCACTTGGTCCTCAACCAGTTTCAGTCACCAACTTCAAATAGATTTCCGATTTATATCTGCTGCACACCTGGCTCACAGGCAGTCTCTCTAGAGGTATATTATTCATATTGTGGTGTGATGTAAAGTGTATTAGATACTTTCCAAAGGGCCAAGAAAGCTACCTTTCATTTAGGAGCTCGTGCTTCGTATAAATACGATAATGTAGCAAGTGAAAGCTGCACCAGAGATGGAAGGGAGCTGGGGAGATAAAGGTCACATACTAGGGTCAGGTGGCAATTTAGTGCCACTTTAGGTAACGTACCCCCCCTTTTTTACTATCCTGTATCCTCTCTCACCACCCCCCTGCTTTCTTCATGTAACCACTCTGATGGAGATCCTCTGGAAGGGATACTTCAATGCAAGTATCTGCTTGGGAATATTAACAAACTGCCCGTGACAGCCCTGGCAACTTGAATTATAGTTACAGCTCTCTGCAACAAGCCAGAACCATGCCTGTTGCCTACAGTGTTTGCCTGCACTGTTCAGATTTTTCCATGGAATGGATCAGACATACCAGGGAAATGCTCCCTCCTGCTCTGTTTGCCTGGGGATTAAAGAAGGGACATGGCCGAAAGGTATCTAATTCCTATCCCAGCTCAAAGTAAGAGTAAACTGAATACCTCCACAAGATCTTTTTGTTGTGTGTTACTTCGAAAGGTTGTGTACAGCACCAGTCCTAGCATCACTGAAGCCAGAGCGATGCAGAGCAGGACGAAGAAAGCCGGGTGGATGCCTAGGAAAGAGCACAAGGGCACAGTCCTGGAGTGATACAATACCCTGGGAAGAGGCAACAGGGAGAAGGAAATGATGTTTTAGGAGAAGTTTTCCTATTTTTAGGACAAAGGACATCTGTGTAACAGGGAATAAAGTTTTCAGCCCAGATCACTTCAGGTCTTTCTGAAATCTCAGAAGTGGGAATGTGAGGTTGTGAGGCTGTAAAGGTCTTTCCCTTTTTACCCCTCTTTTCCCTTGAACAGCCTAAAAAACCCCCACCCAGTTACACACGTTAGCCCAAACTCCCCAGGGTGTTGGTACCTCTGCATGAGGATAGGAAGGAACCTCATCTTCAGGGCAGCCTCCAGCAAAGAGGATTTACACCCTTAGCCCTGAACGCACACCGGTGCCGTCTGGAGTGGGCTGCCCTGTCTGTATACACATGCTGGCCCACGGTGAGATGGTACAATATTCTGTGTCACAGCCGGGCTCTCTCCTGGTCTGGTCCTCTTGGCCACCTAACGGCTTTCTCAGAGGATTCGGGGACCCAGTTCAGGGCATGTGTGTGAGCAGGCATGGGGGAGCCCGCAGGGATTGCTGGCTGGGGGGACAGAAACCTGTAATGAAATGGAAGCCTAGAAAATTTACCCTTAAATAAAACATAACTAAATGAAAAAAAAAAGGAGACTTGAGACTGCTTAATGAAGGGAGTGTTACAGACATATAAGTTTTCCTAGTAATCCTCTCTAACTACAAGAGCCAGATTATTTAAACTGAAAAATATGTAATTTAAGTAACAGCCTTCCCAGGGAACTCATTAGCTTCAAGATACTCTTGAGACTAAGGGTTCAACAGGATGCAGGAACCTCAGAGCAATTACAGTAGGCACATTACAGGCTCTCCTTTCTCTTCATCCTTCCTATGCTTTTAAGGACCTATACCAGCTTCCAGAAACCTCATCTGCAGGCTGGTTAATCCATAACTGTCCTGGATGTGTTTGAGACTGTCCGTTCCCTGACAGCTGGGAATCTCCATGCTGCTCAGACCAGCTGCTCCTCACCTGTTGGCCACACTTTTATTTCATGGTACGTCTGCAGCATCGTCACGCCGTTCTCCACTCTGACGCTGAGGCAATACTGTCCAGCGTCGCTGAAGGTATGGCTGAGATTGTAGCAGGAGCCATTAATCACCACCAGATGGCATTTTTCACCTTCCAGTGGAATGCACTCGGACTTTATAAGCCAGCATAATGCTAGCGGCGGGCTGAAATGACAAAAGCAAAAAGGGAAAAAAAAAAAAAATCAGGTGAAAACTTTGCAAAAATTTCAGCTAAGAGCTGATGAATCACTTGGTTAAAATAGCATAATAATTTTGCAAATAATGAAGTTAATCTAAATACAAATAGAGAAGTAATTAACTGCACAATCGTTTGGTTTGTAGCATTTGTCAACTGAAAAAGTTCTTTTTGATGCTTCTATAAAAGCAAGCCTTTCAGCTGAGAGCTAAATACCTGCGTGGGTCATAGGAAGGCCATTGTGTGTGGAAAACCCCGTAGTCCTTCTCCAATAAAGATAAAAGGAATTTTTTTTTCCCTGGACTTCCAAGTGAGTATAGGTTGTTTTTCCTTTGTTCTTCTCACCAGAAGAAATTACTGTCTGTGCTACTGAAGCACATCCAAGACTTTTCTGATTTAAAAACCCCCAACAACCAAAACTGGAAAGAATGTAAGATGAGCTCTGTACAATGGACTAATAGCTGGAAAAGGTAAATAAATTGCAAGGATCACAGTACCCCTTACAATAACAAAAAGGTTTTTATTTGCTATCAAGCAATCTAGGTGCTATCCATTTTATGGCCATGTGTCTTCTCACCATGTCTAGTTGATGCCTTTTATTTACATTTTCAGACCCTTGTTCCGACTGACTCTGCTTGGATTCACCTTATGTGCTATGGACTTTGATTCTGACAACAGATAGAGCTTTTCTTCACCCTGTCTTACTAGTGTTTTGTTCCTTATCTCTTTAGGACATTCTCTGCTAAAGCAAGCAGCATGCTTATGCGTTTAGCTCATTTTCTAGCCTTGTTTTTGATAACCCATCTCTCAAGCCTTTGTCGTTGCTTTTGTAGCATAAACTCCTATTGCATCAGTCCCAGTCCCGCGGCTAGGAGGTTAGGTCTGCCAAACATTGTCCACCCTAAAACCAAGCCTGCTTTTAGAGATCTCAGGTTTGCCTGCAATGGGTTTTGGCTGTTAGTACGTACTTGCCATCTCCAGTTTCCGCTCCTGCCAATGTGCCATTCACCTTCTGAACGCAAACTCTGCTGCTTTGTCTATTGGGACTATTTATGCCTTTGGCAAATGACTCTGCGTTGGGTGCTGCTCACTGATCCTACAGCCCTACAGCACTGATCTGTTTTGGGTTGGCGGTGTTTTTTGTTTTTTTTCTAAATGCAGCATTAGGCTAAACAGCTCCCAGCAGGAGAATGTGAAAGTGTCACTCTTCTGGAGAATAAGTCACTTCTGCAGTCACGAAGTTGTTATGGTGAAGGAGCTTTCCCGAATGTTTCAGTGGTATTTAAATTGCTTCTGTCATACCAAAACCCCTCACGTGTTCTAAATACTGCAGCTTGAGAAAGCTTGTGCTAGGATCAAGGTGCTCATGACTCTCCAACGTTCCTATGATCCTCACTACATGGAGCCTCTCCGTCTTACTCATCTGGTGGCAATCTCACCTTTGCCAAAATTCTTCCCCAAACCCCTACTCCCGTGTGCCAGTCAAGGGTGGCTGCTATTCAACAGGACACCCTGTCCCTTAGCTTACGGTTTAATTTAGTGCTAGGGAAATTGGTCAAGGAGAAACATTCAAAAGGAAGTTTTAAAATGTAATTATTTCAACTATCTTTCTATGGCTAGTTTTCTTTTAATATGCTCTTGACAAAGATATAAAACTAACATTTGCTTTACATAGGAGGATTCTACTTTTCTGTAAAGATGCAGGCTCTTTCAGGCTCTTAGAGTTCATGGTACTTCAAGTCAGGAAAAAGCAATATTCAACAGTATTTTGTTCAAAGGAAATTTCTTTTTGTTTTAAGAAACAATTCTGGGGGGTGCAACTGACTACTTTAAGGAAACAGTGGGGAAAAACACTTTAATAGACAATGCTTTTGGGGGGAAGTTGTGTTTGCTACTTACGTGCCGTTGATATGAAGAGACAAACTCAAGTTTTCCATCACATGAGTCTCTCTGGAGCCCACTACATTAATACTTTTAACAGCATCTGAGAGGAAGCAAAAAAGCACGTCACACTCCACATGTAAACTTGAAATTAACTGGTTTGTTTTCATAGCCTTTGCAGATTCTAGTTGCATCATCACACAAATAATAATACTTGCCACACTCCCAAAAAGGAATCCTACCAGTAGAGTTGTAAGTTTTCTGAATGTTTTATGATTTTTTTTTTTAGTATATAATCAACTACTTTATTAATCCTTTACATTTTTACTTATGTGTTTATTTGCTCCAGAAGCTGATCAAATCAATGAGACTTTCCTAATGCTTATTTTTTAGGGATAGCCAGCATAAATTAAACAGACAGATCCTTCATAACTTATGGTAAGCATTTTATTGTAAATTTTAAGTGTATGTGAGGAAGATTTTACATATGTTTCCCCATTTTTTCTGCACTAGAACAGTGCAAAGTCCATTTTGCAATGGAAACTCTTCATTGAATAATGTTGACCAGTTCTTGCATGTGAAACAATGCTGAAGTTGTATTATCACATTAAAGCTAGATTGTATCTATACATATATAGCAAGTTCTGTTTTGAATATGCAAAATGTTTTATAATTACCTAACAGCTCCAGGGAGGTGGTAAAATCACCAGTTTTCTGCACCGTTTCTTTTTCATGTATGATGCTTCCAATTTGCTCCCATTCAGCTATGACTTTCAGATGTACCGTGCGATTCCCCATGGTAGAGCAGTTATAGTAGACAAAGGGTTCCTTGGTAATCTGATAAACTCTGTGTATAACATGAAAAGATTTAGGATCAAAATTGCCTTTTACCAAGTCCTTGCATATTTCTGATTTAAAAAGGAACAAGCTCGAATGTATTTTCTTTATAGACAATGCTACAGCAGGTATCAATGAGGATTAATGTCCATGGTATTACCAATAAAACTACAATCAGTATAAGACCTAGAGTATATTTATGCATTTTTATTCAAAGAAACTAAAGATAATGCTAAAAGAATTCACAAAATGGAATAAGAATAGTCAGTAAAGTATGGAAACTACCATTATAGCAAGTGGACTATAAGCTACCCGAAGCACTAAGGCGGGTAACAAAGAACAAAAAACTTCAGTATTCAGAGACTAAAGCTTACATTTCTATTTGCACAAACTTATTTGTATTGGACGTATATTCATCCTCAGAGAAGGAAAATAACCGAAGGTCTTTTTTCCTCCCTACTGCCGAGTGTCTTAAGGGCTAGGTACTACCCACAGGTTTATTTCTGATGGTTATGAGCTATGTTGGGTTTTTTTCCCCTCCATTTTGTTATCAGCTGCGTGTTAACGTGCACAGCCATATTATTGGAGAGACCTAGCCACTTCCAAAAGCTCCTCACCCAAGCTGTCGTATATTTATGAGTAGCTGGTCATAGCAACAGCTACTTACTGACTGCCCAACCGCAAGACAGTATGCTGCTTCCATTTTCCTTAAGTGGACAAATTATTCACGTATTCAAAAGCAACAACCTGCTAATGGAGATCTGCAGGCATAATGATGTTTTAAAATAACAATTTATAAGAAGTTACTTTTTCCAATTCATTCAGATCAGTTCAGCTCGTTGTGCACGCAGTAATACACCTAAGCATGTATTTCAACAAGAAATGTAGGTCTTTAAAACATCACCTTTTTGTGAATATGCAGTGACTTCTGTGCCAAAGTTACCGTAACTCACCTGGTCGACACGCTGAGAATGTACCAACTGACTCTGATTCAATCAGGATTTTCTCTAGATGAGCATCTGAATGAGAGCCATCTTGAATATTCATTAAAGCAAACAAAGTAACCACACCTACCCATCTCCAAAATCCCAGTTGTAGACAAATGATGCTGACTTGAAGTAATGGCTTGGGTCATGAAGACAGAAAGAAATCCGGGTCACGGCGCTCGTGGAGGAACTAGAACCACGCGTGATAAATCTACTGTCTTCTATCTGGGCAATGGTAAGAGTCCCTGTGATAAATTCTGCAGAATGATAAGGTGGAGAAAGAATGACAGCATAGGTCACTTTCATAGCATGCTCCGCGTGAGTATCAAAACAGTATTTAAAATGCACTGCGTAAGTCTTTCTGCTTACTAGTCCAAGTGGTTCAGTGTATTTTATATCTATTACTCAGTGTTGTTACACGTCTTAGTGAGGCAGAGAGCTTAAATTACTTATTTAGGGTTATACAATGGGTCGTGATAAAGCTTCTAATGGAACTAAGAGAAATAATCTTGGACTGATTGAGGTCAATATCAGTTTTTTCTATTGATTTAAAAAGAACTGGGATTAACTTCAAGTATCTAGATCAAGGGATTCAGAATCAAACCAGTATATACGCCCTTCATGTTTGGGGCGGGGGTTTGGTTTGTTTTATGGGGTTTTTATGTTGCTGGTTTTTGGGTTTTAGTTTTAGCTACTTCGACAGAAATGAATAACAGATGCGCTATATATTGTGAATACCGAAAAGGTGAAATTTTGATTTTGCTGTCTGCACGAGATCCTATGCTCAAGATTGTTTACAAGGACTGGCAAAAGCTGATCTAAAAAGACCTCTCTAACCTATGAATAAATAAGTATTATGATGATACACTTATCAACTCATTACAAAATTAATGGGATATTAATTACCAGTAACAGACTTGTACCCTGTTAACAATTCATTAAATCTGGTTAACTGTTCTCTTGATGATGCACAAATAAGAATCACAATTATGGCTTCAGAACGGGGCTGGTAATGCAGAACTAATGGGGGTTGTAATTTCTGAGAGTTATTGGCAGTGAAGCCCCTGTGGCTGCTCTTGCTGGGGGAAGGCAGAAAGGTACACCGGGATCTTCCCTTTCACAGCTATAGAAAGCTTCTATCCCTTTTGCTTGTGGCATGAGAATATAAGCGCAAAGCGAGAAAGGAATAAGTAGATATTCAGCAAGGCAGCAGATCTTAAGAGAGAAAAGATACTTTTATAAAGCTTGGTGTTTCTCAGAGAAAAATCTCAATAGCTATTCCCCAAAATGTCAGCTATGCCCTATGGTCAGCTCTTTTGTCCTCATACATGTCCTTATCTTCGGCTGGGAGCTGGGTCTGTTTTGGAGCGTGTAAGTAGAGTGCTGGGACCTGTGGTCGGAGGGACGTGGTTACTAGTCTCTGAAAGAAGGGATTGTGGGAGGCAGTCAGGTGATATCTCATGTCAATCCCTGTATGAGAGATTAGGTTAACCATACCGCGTTATTGGTCAATTTGTCAAAAAAAAGCCTATTTATGGATATGAATATTCCCAGTGAGCTGAATTTGCACTTAGCAGTATTTGGAAACGCAGCCACGGCTTCCCATCCAATTTCAATACAGTCTGTCAGAGCGTTAAAAGAAAATGCAATGGCTCTGTTGCGCTGATGGCCTCAATTTTTGTCATGCAACAGGGAAAATCAGTAGGTTGTCACTGCTGCTAGTCACCCTAACTTTAGGACTAGAAATGCTGGGAAGCAGTACGGGAAGCACTGGTTTAGGAGCCTGGACATCACTGAACAACGCTGACGCGCGAACTGCAGCTGCTGAAGTATCTGGTTTCTGCTTCAGTTTCTCTAAGTGACAGAGGCAGGAAAACACGGGCAGCATCACACCTGGTTCCTGGATGTAGGTAAACTACATCATGACCCAGTTAGTCCATCCAAACCCACCTTCGATCAAAGGGCTACACAAATCAAACTGTTGGCAGAAGCTGTATTTACACCTGGCTTTCATTTTTCTGATGCTACCAAAGGCAGCGAGCATCCTGAAGTATACTGAATTCCTGAAGATGCAGAAGTTGTAAAGCCACTTTACCTGTAATCTGAAGCACGGTGATGTTTCTAGCAACTGGCCGACATAACCAACAGTTTCTATGAGTCACCCAGACAGATATGGGAAAAGTCCCAGGAAATTCACCGGTCACATTAATTACAGAGTTAAACCGCTGCTCAGATTTCTCTATCAGAATCAGAGGAGCATAAATCCAGTTGAAGTGATAAAAGTTTGATGCAACACTGTCATTCTTTATGTTTAGACTGGCGTGAACAGTAGCTTGAGCTCCCGTTGTGATGGGACCATTGTTGGTTATTTCCAGACCATACTCCTCTGTGGAAATCAGAAGAAAAAAAAACCCAAACCTTGTTGTACTGCATTTTTTATTACATTTATTTATTTACATGGTTTAATTAGTCAGCTTGTAGTTATGTGACTCACAATGACACTCATCCCAGCAGACTTTACCAACCTTTTTTTTAACCACCATTCAGAAACCTGGAACAGAAACTGTTGCTTGTATATCTGAGTTCAAACAAGTAGCATTAAATAACATGTTAGAATGGGTCCTAGAAATGTTAATAGTAGAAGGGAGCTTCAGACTAGAACATTACAAAAACTTTGATGAGGTTTTATAGGCAGAGCTGGGCGCTGGCTGTAGGTTCAGTGTCACTAATGATCTAACATGGTCACTAAACTTCCAGCTACTGGAAGAAAGTCAAGCTCAGCTCTAATCTCATGAACTTTCAAACTCAGGGATTATTTCATCCAGTAGATTGCTTTGGCAGCTGTGTTGACCCACAAGTCTCCCCCACCTTCCTCCTAGCTGAACAAAAAAGCCTCAGCGCCAGCTGCTTCTTCTCTATGGTCCACCATTGACTTCCTTTTCCAGGGAAGGACCAAAAATCCCACTGTAACTGAAACTCGTACCACGCCTTAGTGGCGGATCAGTGTACTTCAGAAGGGCAAAACCAGGGTTCTTGCTTTCTGACTTTCATGCCTGGGAACAGCAAGGCCTGAGAAGCGCAGGGCCGCTGATACTGAACCATTATCTTGTAGAACAGTTATCTTCCCTGCCACGTTTACACAAGCTACTTCAGCTCTTACAACTACTGCAATGGGCAGAGCATGAGTGAGGTTGGGTTTTATGGAAAGGACATACAGTTTTTCCAAAAAATAGCAGTCCAACAAGATTAAATGACTTGTATGTGTTAAAAAACCCCCACAACCCAAACCCCCACAACCCAAACCCCCAAACAAAAGGAATCGCAACAACCACTGAAAGCTGTGAATTGGGGCAGAGCTGGGAGCAGGATCTGGTTGGTTGCCTCCAACATGGAGCACGTTCCCTCCCTGCATCAGTGCTCTGCCTGGCGAGCAATGGGGCAACACTGGGCAGAGCGGCAGAGCTGTGGGGGTTCTCATGCTGGGAACTTCCCTTCTCCTCTCAACAGCTACCAGATTGCTAACTGGGACCTGAATCTTTGAGCTTCAGAAGCTGCATTTCTCACTCATCCATGAGCTGTAATGTGGAGGGAGCACTGGGGTCAGCTAACCCCCCTCCATACTGCCTTTCCTGCACCCGTCAGCTTGGGATGGGGGGCGAAGGAGAACCCGAGGCATCTACTTAGTGCCCACATTTTATTCCACAGATCGCAGGCACTGAGCAAATCTGGATGCAAAAGGACTGTGAGAAGTAACTGTGTCATTACTGTCTGAGCAACAATTCCACTGTTCCCATTTCACAATGCAAGCAATAGCCCTGGGTTCAGGTTTTTGAGTTAACAGAGAAATGCTTGTGATTTGATGAAATCTGGCACAGAGAGGTTTCGGGTCTCTAGAAGATTCAGGCTATCCTCCACTTTGTTTTAGCAAAACTTGGGAAAAAAATAGCCAGCTACCTCACGCTTATCTAGCACGTCTCCTTGGAGGTTATCATGGTGCTTTACAGACCAGGGCCATGCTGAAGCCCAATAGCTGCAGCAGCTGGAGATTAAGTGACTAACCCAAGGTCACCCAGTGAGTCACCAGTAGAGCAAGACAGTTGATCCAATTCAGGGATTTCTTCTACCTTTTCGACCTCTCTCTGCAAAATGCAGCACTGCGAGGCTACCACAGCCAGAGGGAGAGGCTGCCCAGGTGCCTTGTGACCCACTGCGCTGGGAAACGGAGGAAGCAGAAGTGCAGCTTTTGGGTTAGCAAGTGCAAAGCAGAACCCTGGCTCCTCGGGACGCCCCAGCTTCACCGCAAGCACCAAGGTCGCAGACCAAAGCCTGGGGAGGGGAGGGGGTGCCCGGAGCTGCCTCCATCCTCT